ATGAGGGCCAGGGCATGGGCCAGGACGTGGAGCAGGTGGGCGGGCAGTGCCTGGCGGGCCTTCCGAGCTGGGTTGACTCTCAATGGCTGAATCAGCTTCCTCCCGCTCAGCCAGCACCTCATCGATGTCCGTCTCACGGTAGCACCTCAGTGGCACCGTGTCCAGGTCGGTCTCAGAGTACTTGGCCACTTGCCCCACAGCCACCCCAGAGCCCTGCCTTGAGCCCACCCTGGATGGAGATGGGGGGGCCTCCTCTGGGGGCTTAGCACCTGCGGGACACACAGACATCCAGGTCAGGAGGTCTTCCAGGTCAGTCCCCTAGCCTGCTCCTGTTCTGGGAACTCTCCCCCACTGCCTCATACTGGCAGGAAGTTCTTTCACTGACTAGCCACCATCCCTCCTGCTACAAACTCAGCTTGTTCCCAGTGCTCATGGAGCTCATTTCAAACCAAGTTCTTGTCTAACAGCCTTGAGGGGCCTGAGAGAGAGCAGCCTCTTTTCTCCTCCAAGGAATGACCCTTGAGATTCTTCCTTCTACTACCCAGCTTCCTCCAAATGCCCAACCCAGCCCCTAATACTGAGCCCTCCCCATCATAACACAGGTGGGAAGTGTGAGGCCGGAGGGGCATTTGCCAACTCAGAGCCCAGGAAGGGATTTGGGGAGGTTTCAAGGAAGGCTCCGTACCAAGGCCCAGCTGCTGAAGGGAAGGTCCTGCCTCGTTCCCCTCGCCTCAGTGCCAGGTCTTACCTGAGCTGGGGGGGTCCAAGGAGCCATAGAAGAATTCCCATTTGGCTCGAGCGATTCTCTGGGCATGAGAGGAGACTTCCCGGGGGGAGGACCAGGTATCCCCCTGAGCCAAGGAGGGAAAGATAGATACAGGCACTCAGAGATAAAGCCAGACATACAGACACAGGAACATGGGACAGAAACACAGAAATAAACAAACAGGGACAGAGATGGAAGTGCAGAGACACAGGGACGAACACAGAGGGCAAGAAAGATATTTAGGACAGATTGAAGGATTCAGACTGAACGGCAGACGGGCTCAAGTCTATGAGGTGGCCAAGCCTTGCCCCTTTACAGGGGCTCTGAGGCCCCAGGGAGCCCAAAGGGGTCACATACCTGGTTTAGGAGTCCGGTGTCAGCAGGTCCTCGGAATAGTGTGGCCAGGTGCTCAGGGGGACCCCCCAGCCCATTGGGGAGAGAGGAGTAAAGGCCATCTGCCCCAACCTGGGGTGGGGCAGGGGGCCCAATTAAGGGGCCTCGGCTGCCAGGCAGGGCCGAGCCTTCTCCAGCTGGAAGTGGGTCTGATGTGGATGCCTCCAGCCGCAACTTCCGATTGCAGCTAGGTCTAAGGGCTGGGGTGGGTCTGGGAGGGGAGACCCTACCCAGGTCCCAGCTCCGACTCAAGCCTCCAGGAGCAGGTAATCCATTCAGTGGCCTCACGCTGGCCTTCTCCACAAGGCGGAAGATGACCACGGAGCTCCGGGCCCCAGGTGGGGGCTGCCCAGTAGGTGAAGAAGGTGCCCAGGGTAAGGGAACAGCATGGGGCGAGGGGGGGCCACGCAGGGGTGTACAGGGTGCCGTTACTCGGCCCAGATCCCGGCCCCGGGGACGTGGACCTGCCACCCTCCGTAGCAGGGAGCCTGTGCTGCCATACATGCTGGCTGGGGGGCTTTGGGGCACGGGGCCTTCCGGGAGCCAGCGGCGTGGGCATCGTGGTGGGGAGATGGCACAGTCGCCTTCTGAGCAGAAGCGCATGGCACCCTGGGCCATGCTGGGGCTGGGGGGTCAGGCTGGGGGAGCAGGGGTGGCGAGGCCAGGTGGGGAGTGAGGGGGCAGCATGCTCTTCAGACAGGCCTGCAAGAGAGGAAGGGGAGCAGGCGGTAAACTGCAGGAGAGTTGGATGGGCAGGAGAGCATGGGCAGGGAGGGTGAAGCTGGCCGGGGCATCTGAGCACCAGGGGCCTAGCCCACCCTGGGAATATGGGCTCACTGATCCCACCCCTGGGGGATGATCTGGCCTCCTGCTCAGGCTACCTTCATGGAAGCCTGAGGAGAAATGAACTGCCCCCCAGTGGAACCCTGGACCCTCTCCTTCTGCCCTGGGGCCCTGAGCTCACCCTGAGAGGACAGAAGAAGCTATTTCAGAAGATGAGTGAGCCCAGAGTCCCTGTGGCACTTTGGAGCTGCTTCTGGTGGGGAGAGACTGGCACCCCACCCTCTGGACCAAGGGTGCCAGCCAGCCATCACCATCATACAGCCCTGGGTCCCCCACAGTCCCTCTTATGGAGGCCCCTCACTCAGGGAGGGGGAACTCAGGCCCCCTGAAAGGAAAGGAGGAAAAAGTTGGAGGGGTTATATAGGGACAATGAGGGGCTGAGAGGCACAGGGTGGAGGGAAGGAGAAAGGCCTGACAGAATACCCAACCCTCAAAACATACATGCTGAATGAGAAAGGGGCATTCTTGTTCTCCGTACAGGTACAGATACATACACAGAGGCATACATAAGGACAAATATACCTGTACACAGTTCAACACATTCACAAGCAACACCCTCCGGCACACACAGGCGCGTGCGCGCGCACGCGCGCGCACACACACACACACACACACACACACGGCTCAAAGACACACCCTCACACACTCTCACAGTCATAACAAATATGTGTGTAATGGAAAGGCACATGCTTGTTTTACACACTCGCTGTCATACAGACAGGGACACACAAAGAGATACCCAAATACACACACCGGCCCTCACTCTCCAATGCACACGGAGACACAGGCGTATCAGACACAGAGACCTGTTTGTGCACAATCACACACAAATACAAACGCACACTTACACATTCTAAAGCAGGGACACACACCCCTCCCCCCCCCCACCCCACAGGACATAGGTCCCTGGGTGGGTGGGGAGAGCTGCACCAGACCCTTCTCCGAACCCGCATCCCCGAAAGGGCTATAACAGATCTTTCTCATTCTGTCCAGCCCTGGAGGGAGCCCCAAGGGTAACGGGGCCTCTGGAGGCAATGCAGGATAGGGGCAGAGGTCATAAGCAGGAACCTTGCTAGGCAGGTTCCTGTAGCTCAACCGCGGCCCCTGTGCAGCCCAGACTCAGAGCCACCACGGTACTCACCACTGCTCGCCAGGAGCTGGGGCCGAGGAGAGGTAGGAGGGAGGCTGGGCTCAGCTCAGCGGTGAAGGCAGCGCGGCTCCTGCTCGCTCCGGGTCCGCCCGCCTCTCAGTCCCTCCCCCTCCCCCCTACGCGCCGCTCCGGCAACGCTAATCCGCACCCTCCCGCCCTCTCCGGGGCCCTGAGCCCTGCGGTCTGCCCCCGCTCGTCGCCGGGTCCCCGCTGTGCTCTCCCGCCAATCGGAGACCCGCCCCTGACGAGGAGGAGGGCGTATGGAACCCTAAGTACTGTTTCCCAGACCCTCACGTGCCCCACCCCACTCGCGTCCACGTCCCTCTCGCCCACTGTCCCCAGAGCCACACGAAGGCCCAGCTGCACACGCGTGTCCCGCTCCAGACCCCACGCGTGTCCCTGTGCGCCTGCCACATGACCTGTAACACGCCACACGCGCTCCCGCCCCCACGAGCACGCAGCCACACGGTATGGGTGTAGACCAGATCCGCCCCCTAAACGCAGGAGACCATCAACTTGATGAAGGAAAGATCTAGGAAACACCGCCTCAACCTCTCCGGGGTTCTGAGTCTTGGACCCAGGAGACTCAACCCTGACCACCCACCCAGGGTGCAGCAGGAAGGATGTTAGTCAGACTTCAGAAAGGTCTTCCTGGATTCCTCAGTTAAGAGTCGTAGCTGCCTGAGGGTGAGAGGTTAAACGAGATGACCCGGGGACTGGAGGATGTGGGGGACAGGCAACCTCTTTTCCCCTTCTGCCCTTGGCGAGGGTAGAAGGGGCCCTGGCTATTTTAAGAAAGCGCGGCTAGTTACTATGGTAACTGCTTTCCTTGGGAAGGCCAAGGAGAGCAGGTGGTGACCTCGGAAGGAAGAAGGGGTCTGTGTGGGCGGTCAGGGGGCGCGGGGACGTGTGAGGCGGGGGCGCGCGGGGCTCACCGCGGGGAGGCGCGGCCCGGGTTCCGCGTGGTGCTGAAGGGGACAGCGCCAGATTTGTCGCACTGCGCAGGCGCAGAGGCGAGAACAAAGCGGGGAGGGGGAGAAGGCGCGCGGCCGGAGGTGGTGCGCGCTCTCCTGGCTCTATCCTAGCTGTCTCAGCTACCTCCTCCACAAGCAGGCTGAGGAAGAGGAAGCAGGTCCCTCACCCAACCTGACCCTCTTCTAGTCCTTCCCTGCTGCTGGCCTCTCTCTTCTGGCGCATGGCGGGTGTACGGATGGTCTGGAGCATGGAAGGGATGCTGGGAAAATCAAGATGCCAGGGTTCTCTATCCCCGATTCACTTGATTTCCCCATCTTTAAAATGGAGTGACAGCACAGTCCTGCCCACCTTGCGGAGGTGCCCCAGGCCCGGATAAGAAAACGGACGGGAAGCTGCTTTCGTTATGAAGAGGCAGGTGAAATTGTTGCACCAAGGGAGAGCGCAACCCGACTGGGGGCAGCTCTAAGCGACGGCAGTGGCGTGCCACTGAGGCACTCAGCGTTCTTTATCCCGCCCCCCCACCATAGCTAATGGGGAAAGCACTGCGCCAGAGTTCCCCAGAGCCGACCCGGAAACCAGGACCTGGTGGGAAGGCGGCCCAGAGACTGAGCCCAGAGCTCTGGGACGTAACCGCCATAGAGCAGGCCTAACCCCAGGCCCCATAACTAAATCCCCAGGCCTGTACTTGAGAAGTAGTACCCCTAACGGACTGAGCTGAGCACTCATTCTTCTCAGGTCTCTGGGCATCCTGGGGAAAGGGATCCGGCTGGAGATATAGTCCTTCTCAACGCCCCTTTTGTCTCTCTCCCCGGGTATAAACCCAGTCCATATGGTACCGGGGTAGACGGAGCTGGATAGCTCTGTACTTCACAATTAACCAGGAACAGGAGATTTGGGCAAGTTTGCTTGATGAAGAAAAAAAAATTCTAGCTTTGCCCATTCATTCATTCAACAATTACTTATTGAGCAGCTACTACGTGCCAGGCAGTAAGAGCAGAAAGAGTTTTTCCCCATTTTTCAAAATTGCCAGGAGGCGGGAGGGTAGACCTGGAACCCAGAAGTCTTGGTTCCGCCCCCTTCTGCGCTTGGCCTCGCTTGCTCTTCTGTTTACCACTTCGCTTCGAGGTGGCCTCTGGCACAAAACGAAGACAGAAGCGTCTCTGCTGTCCACTTAGTTCTCCAGCTCTGTGCCTCAAGTCCTGTGGCTGAGAAGGCGAGGTCTAATGTTACACCACCTGTTTGTTCCGCCTTAGTTTTGGGGTCCATCCGGAAGGTTGTCAGATAGGATCCTCAGTGAGACGGCACTCGATTGAATCGGTCTATCTCTACAGCCCAAGTAGGCGGGTTCTCTGCGGTAGCAAGAACACCTTACTGCGCACGCGCAGTAGACAGCCGATGGAGCCACGGATGGAGCCGTCCGGAGGGGAGCAAGATCCCGGAGCCGTCAGGTACCGAGGACTGGAGGGGCCGAGGCAGGGGAGAGGACCGGGGAGGGGAGCTGAGTCGGGGCCGGGTCTGGGGGGACACTCCTGGGAGCCGGAGCACAGGAGTAGAACGGAGGCGGGATCGCAGATAGCGGAGCGGCCTTGGGACGCCGCCGCCAACGCTTCTTTACCTGCAGGCTCCTGGACCTGCCCTGGGAAGACGTGCTACTCCCACACGTCCTGAGCCGGGTCCCGCTGCGACAGGTACTCCGGCTGCAGCGCGTCAGCCGGGCCTTCAGGGCGCTGGTGCAGCTGCACCTGGCGGGGCTGCGCCGCTTCGACGCCGCTCAGGTGAGCCGGGGCCAGGAGCCCTGCCCCCGCCTGTGTACCGTCCCCGCCCCACCGCTAGTCCCGTTGTCTATCCTTCCGATCCCCCGGGGCCGCACGGGCTGCCCAGGAAGAGACCCACGAAGTGGGGAGTACTCAGCAAAGGCAGGTACCAGGTAGCGACTCAGGGCGAGTGGGGCCTCTCCCGGGAGGACAGGTGGCAAGCCCCAAGGGCGGACGGCTGCCAGGAAAGAACTCCTCAGGGACCGACAGGGACCGCCTGTCCCACCCCCGGGCCCGACTGAGAGTCCGGGTGCCTCTCGGCCCACAGGTGGGTCCGCAGATCCCGCGGGCTGCATTAACCCGGCTGCTGCGGGACGCCGAGGGGCTGCAGGAGCTGATGCTGGCGCCTTGTCACGAATGGCTGTCAGATGAGGACCTCGTGCCGGTGCTGGCGCGGAATCCGCAGCTGCGGAGCGTGACGCTGGCCGGCTGCGGGCAACTGAGCCGCCGAGCGCTGGGGGCTCTGGCAGAGGGCTGCCCCCGCCTGCAGCGCCTGTCGCTCGCGCACTGTGACTGGGTGGACGGGCTGGCGCTGCGCGGCCTCGCGGATCGCTGCCCGGCCCTGGAAGATCTAGACCTCACCGCCTGCCGCCAGCTCAAGGATGAGGCCATCGTGTACCTGGCGCAGAGGCGCGGCGCAGGCCTTCGCAGCCTCTCACTGGCCGTCAACGCTAATGTGGGCGACACTGCGGTTCAGGAGTTGGCTCGGAACTGCCCGCAACTAGAGCACCTCGACCTCACCGGCTGTCTCCGCGTCGGAAGCGACGGCATCAGGTGCCGGGGCTGGGGCGGGGGGGGGGGTGGTGGTGGCAGGAGGGCAGTCATTCAGCTTCTGGGGTAGGCTGAGCTGTAGTTCTCAAAAGGCAGAGCTAGCGGGTTCTGGATCTTTCTGCTATCACAGCCCCCCCATTCTAAATAGGAAAACCTTACAGGATTGTCTAGGCCAAAGAGCCTAAACAGTTTAAAAACTTTTTTGAACCAATATTTACACATTGGGAGATTTCAAATACAAAGTCAAACTTATAGCTTCTCTTCAACAAGCGGGAAGTCTTGCAATTCTGGGCGGGGCCGAGGAGCCGGTTTCCCCTTTAAGACTCTGGTTCACTGGAGGCATTGAGTGTAGACCCCAGTTCAGTCCAGGCCCCCTTCGTCGTGTATGGAGGAAAAAAGTATGGCCCGAACTAGAGGGTTTCAGGGCTTTTCTGAAGCCAGAAGTAGGTACCGTGAGTCTGGGCCCGCCCCCTCCTCTGCCCGTGGGTGTGGAGGCTCCGTGCTCCTAGCCTCACCCGGCTCCTCCCCTAGGACGTTGGCGGAGTATTGCCCGGCGCTTCGATCACTGCGGGTGCGGCACTGCCACCACGTGGCCGAGCCCAGCCTGAGTCGCTTGCGGAAGCGCGGCGTGGACATCGACGTGGAGCCGCCGCTGCACCAGGCCCTGGTGCTGCTGCAGGACGTGGTGGGCTTCGCACCCTTTGTCAACCTGCAGGTCTGAACCGCCCGCAGGTTGGGGCACAGCTGGACTGTGTGGTGCGGGCCTGACTGAGCTGTAGGGAAACTGGACTGTGGGGGCCTCTGGTGAGAGGTCAGTGCCCTGCCCCACCCTGGAGCTTCAAATAAAGAGCTTTTTACCCCCTCTTGCCTGGCGGTGCCGCCCTGTTGAAGATAGGGGATGTGAGGTTGGAGAGAGAAGGTCAGACAGACACAGTACCCCAGCCCTGGAGCAGAAATGACCAGAATGCACTCACACTTTCCTCGGGCCACCTTTACTGTGCCCATGGGCAACTCCCAGAGGTTAACACTGTGGGACAAGGAAGCAGAGAAGGGGGTGAGGAGTTAAGGAGGCCCCTGCCGGGTGGGGGGTGGGGTATATAGGGCTCCTGCATCCATCTGGGATCTGAGCCTAGACGGCTCAGGCAGAATCTGGCGTGTGCCTCAGTGGAAGCGGTACTTTCTGGCTGGCTTGAGGTTGATGTATGTGGCCTTCATCTCCTCGGCCTCAGGGTTCCGCATGTCTTTGAATCGCTCCCCTTTGGTGCTCACTACCTGGTTGTCAATGTAGCGGATCAGCTTCTTGGGGGCCTGTCGGGCAGTCAGGCAGTGAGTGGCATTAGACAGTCCCTCCCACTCCACACCCCTAGCAAGCCCCAACTCTCTCACCTCCTTGGGAGTCATGGGCCGGTGAATCTTCTGATCCTCTGCACTATCCACCATCATGTACCTGCCAAAAACTGGCTGAGTGAAGCTCTTGCCAGTCTGAGAAGACCCTCTGGGGCCCAGCCCAACCCAGACTCACTTCTGCAGGATGAAGGACTTCAGCTCATCCTTCTGGGGGCCTCTGAGGCGCCTGGGCAGGTCCTGTGGAGAGGGGAGGCCTGGTCTAGACCCTGGGGCACCAGAAGGGAAAGCAGATGGGGATGGGCTGGTGGGGGGTGGGGCAGTGGAGGTTTACAGTTTAACACCAAGTAGGAATGCAGCTGAGGCTACATGGAGGAGGAGAGGAGAGCAAGGTCTGAGTCCCAGCAGTGGTATGTGTTGGGGGTTAGGGGAATACCTGATTGGGGCCGTCCTTCCCCTCTACCAGCATCTGCACAGCCTCTTCCAAGTCCCCCCGAGCTTTGGCCAGCGCCCATTGGGCCTGCCCCACTGAACAGGTGGGGAACACCTCCAGGAGTACATCCACCCCTGGCAGCAGCTCCTCCTCAGCACCTGCTGCCTGTGGGCAGAAATGTTAACAAGAGGCAGGACTTCTTCCTTTCCCTCATCAGTATTCTCCTCTACCACTAGTACCTTGTCCTGGGTGTCCTCAGCAGCAGTGGGAGAAGACCTGGTCTCTTCTTTGAGCTTTTCAGGCCTCTGCAGAGGATCTGGGGGGATGGGTACTTGACCTTGGACCTCAGAGCTCTGTGGTTGCAGGTTCTCTTAAAGGGGCAGAGAGAGCATCAGGTTTGGCAGGGCTTTGGGGGTAGTGGTGGTTATGAATCACTCAGGTGCCCAGGACCCCAGACTTACCTTTGTTCCTGGTATCACTCAGCTGCCCTGAGAGCTTCTGCATCATGTCCCCTATTGTGCCCCTGAGAGGGCAAAGAAGGGTGAAGGGACAGTTCCATCTACCCCCCATAGTCAGAAAGCCCTCCTCCTCTTGGCCCCAGTTAGGACCCACCTGGGGATATGGGCAAAGCCAGGCACGTAGGCCTCCATCATCTCAGTAAAGGCCTCCATATCAAAGTCCTCCTCTGATGGGCCTGAGGGGCCCAGGTCCTCCAGGACCCCAAGAACATAGGAGAAGATGACATCATCCAAGCCACTGCAGGGAGGGGACAGGACAAGCCCTGGGTAGTGCACTGGGTATCTCCAGCACCCCTACCGAGCCTGAGACTCCAGCCCTTAGCTTCCTGGGGCCCATGAGCCAGATACCAGACCTCAATCCTTGAGGCCAGAGAGTCTCCCACCCTCCCTCAGAGCTTTGGTTTCTCATCTGTCCAACAAGGGTCACAGGAACAGATGAGGGGCAAGCCCATCCCACCTCAGTCTTTCCAGTGGCCAGGGCCTACAGTATTACCCGGCAGCTCCTGCCTCTACCTGAGGTCGGCCTCTGGGAGATGTGTCTGGACAAAGGCAAGGAGGGCTGCACTGACAGTCTTCTCCAGCTCCATGCTCTTTCTTCTGAAGGGACACAAGACAGAGGTTTGTCAGGCCCTCTTCTGCCTGTCCTCACCCTGCCCACCGGGCCTGGGGGTGGCCAGCTCCTCCTTCCTTGCCTGCTGTAAAACCATCTGTTGATGTTGCCCTTAGCTCCCAGCTCCCCAAGGAGGGCCACAGCCCCCTCCCCGCCCATCTCTCCATCTCCTCCAGCCTGAGACAGGGCAGGGCACTGTCTCCAGAAAAGGGCTACCCCTGGCAGCAGACTCAGACCCTCTGGCAAGAAGCCAAGGTCTTAGGGTCACATGCCTTGTAGCTGAGGAATCCCATCATTGAGAAGGGCATCTGGCCCCCAAGTCTGACTACAAGGGGCCCCACTGTCCAGCCCCTCAAGAAACAGGCCTCGGGACCAAGCACAGCTCTTCTCCAACCCAGAAATGTCCACCCACCCTCTGCACAAAGGGGCTTTTCTGGCTTTGAGGCACAGATGAAAGGGGAAGTCTTTCACAGATTCTCTCCTCCTGACCAATCCCTGCCCTTCCAGCAGCACGGGGCTATCTACAAAGGACATTCATATCCTCCTTTCCAAGGCCTATACAGCCCTACAAGATCTGGCCCTTGCCTGCCACTGCAATCTCACTACTCCCTCCTCGCTCACTCCACTCCTACCCCACTACCCACCTTGCCATTCCTCAAACTTGCTGAGCTTCTTCCTGCCTATATCCCCCAAATAGCCACATGGCTCATTCCTTCACTTCCTCCAGGGCTCTGCTCAAATGTTACCTCCTCAGAGAGATCCTCCCTGACTAACCTACCAAAAACAGATACTACCCATACTCACTAACCCCTTACTCTGCTCATTTTCTATACAGCACTTACTACAGCTTAACATTATTTTATATATTTATTTGCCTATTGTCTATCTTCCCCCAGATAGAAGGGAGGGACATTGTCCTCCTCATTAGTGTAGTCCTAGCACTTAGAAAAGTGCCTGTACTTAGTGGGTGCTCAATAAATACTTGTTGACTTATTTCATTGTCACCTTCATGCTTTTGACTCCCGAAAGCCTATATGTGGGAGTCAGGAATACGTAGGTGATAGTGAATGGGTTCAGACTCATAGGTCCAAATGTCTGCTAATCATTTCACTCAGAAAGGCTCCTCAAATTCTATCTACCCCAAATTCATGATATCTTCTCCAAATCTGTGCCCATCCCCAAAATATACACTTCTTCCTGTTTCACTGACTGACACAATCCTTCATTCACTTACCTGCCAAACCTGAAACTTGGGGATTACCCTTGATTTCTCCCCATCTCGCCCCTACCTGCTACTCCAATCAATCACCAAGTCCTGTGGATTCTATTCCCTTACTTTTTTCCAGCCTATCCACTTCTCCCCATATCCAATTTGGCTTCTGCTCCAACACGTCCACCAACACTTCTCAGGCTAAGGTCACCAGTTACTTTTTTAGGTTTCGGTTCATTAGGTTGAACCATACGAGCTCACTAATATTTGCCTGTTTTTGATCTATAAAAAACCAAACCAAAACAAACAAAAAAGGCAATTTCTCATGGTTTTGCCTAATATTTGCCCTCTCAGCCGCATCAACGTTAGTTTCTGAGACACCATGCTCTCTTGGTTCCCTTTCACCTCTCTGGCCATTTCTTCCATGTCTCTGTCCCTCTCTCCTCTGCTTGACTTCCTCAGGCTCAGAGCTGGTCCTCTTCTCTCCTCATTCTGTATTCTCTCTCTGGAAGAGCTCATCTGGGCCCATATCTTTACGTACCAACTCTATGCCACCAACTGCCAAATGTTCACTTCTCTAGTCCAGTCCCATCCTGAGCTACAAACTTGTACATCTACCTCCCTGACACCTCCGCGTGGACATCTTACAGGCATTTCACATTTAACATGTCCCAAACTGACATTCTCCCAAGTTTTTACACCTCCAGGACCATCTTCAGTAAATGCATGTCCAAGCACCCAGTTGTTCACACTCTAAGTCTGTGAATTTTCCTTGACACCACTCTGTCCCTTGCCTTCCTCACCCAATCAGTCAATAAGCCCTGACCATTATCTCTCAACCACATCACTTCTCTCCAACTCCACTCCCACTTTGGTCCTTGCCTTAACTACTTCAAGAGCTTCCTAACATGTCCTCCACTGCTGTCTTTCCCCCAACAACCTATTCTCCACACTATAGCTGTGTGATCTTTATAAAAAATCCTGTCATTCTTCTGCTTAAGGCCCATCTGTGGTTTCCCAATACCCTTCGAAGAAGTCCAGATTCTTTTTGTGGCCTGTGATGTAGGGCCTTACCCTTGCCTATTTCTCTCCAGCCTCATGCACCACACCTTCCCTGGCTCATTCCCCTCCACCCTGGCTTTCTTTTAGTTTGCCAACACTCAAGCTGCTCGTGGCAAGGGCTTCTGCAGCAACTGTCTTCTCTGCCTGGGCAGCCTTCCACCTACATCTCTTCTCTTATAAAACTCCTCACCTTTAAGGTCTCAGTTCAAAATTCTCTCCTCAAGAAATGCTGTCCCCGACCCTCTAGAACTGGCTTGGTCCCCTCTATCTTACATCCGCGTTGCAGACTGCACATTTCCTGATTTAGCAGCACCTTTCACAGTGTAATTGAATAATTATATGGGCAACGTTTAATGTTTCTTCCAGTTGTTTCATGAGGGCAGGGACTAACCGAAAAAACAAAAAGAACCAAACCTGTTGCTGTTGAGTCAATTCCAACTCACAGCAACCCTATAGGACAGAGTACAACTGCCCCATGGGGTTTCCAAGGAGCGGCTGGTAGAGTCAAACTGCCGACCTTTTGGTTAGCAGCCAAGCTCTTAACCACTGTGCCACCAGGGCTCCTATTGGGCAGGGCCTACACCTGGCTTATTCACCAATGTACCCTAGGTATCTCTCATGTAGTAAACACTACTCCCCACTTTACAGATGAAGAAACTGGAGCTCAGTAGGTTTAATAATGACCAAAGTCACACAGCCTGACTGTGATAGAGTTGAGATTTGAATCCAGGTCTTCTAGTTCAGTGATTATATTCTAAGGGCTACTCTGGGGATGGGGTGCTGCTGATGATAGTGGTAACAAGACTCCAAGTGGGTTGGGACAGAGATACTGTCTATAATCACAGTTCCCTAGTCTCCTTTGTGGTAACAAAGAGTTGCTGTGACAACACAGGGGTCACTTTGAGAAGCAGGACTGAGAAGCCCCAACCGACCAGGGGGATGCCTGGCTCTGAGCCTGCCTCTCGCTCCAGACCCCAGCCATGAGACCCTGGAGAGAAACAGAATTGCTCAGCCTGGGCATACCAGATTCTATCATGCAACTCCCCCAGGAGGGCAGCCCCCTCCAGAGACCTACAACAACCCTGGGTTACATTACTCCCAAATCCTAGCTGTTGTCAATTGCCTGGCAACCCTTGCAAAGGCCCATGGCTGCTGTGTGACAGTCCAGTTTCCAGAGAAGAAGGCTCTCAGGGATGTGTCTGATGCCTCTTTTCTAACCAAGGTCACTCCCCAATAGAAAGTCTTCCTCCCCTGAGCTTCTGCTCTAGTTTGTCCCCTAAGGGAACATTCCCCCCGCCCCCACACCGTTCTTTTAGGCTGTCCCAACTTTACCCAGCCTTCAAAGCTTGCCACTTCTTTTCTTCTCTTTCCCCATTATTCCCTCAGCTTTCCTCAGCATTTCTTTTTCTGCCAAGAGGTTCCTCCTAATATTTCTCCCCTTGTTGGGGAAGGTATGGTCTAGCAAACTCCCTTCCTAAGCTGAAGCCTGAGCAACCCATCTTCTCCAGGGTTAACAGCATGATTTCCATGAGATTTTTCAAATTCCAGATGCAGCCCACAGACCCCATTACTTCCTGGAGCCCCAAATCAGCAATTAGTGGTTGGTAGTGCCCATGAAACGTGACTGTCATGAGCCCTGCTTAAATACCTCTGAAGATGATAATAACAGCATTTACTGACTGCTTACATTGTGCCAGGCATTGTTTTACGCCCTTTACATGTATTAACTCATCTAAACCTCACAATAACCCTAAAACATAGAATACTAATATTATCCTCGTTTTACCCAAGCGGAAATGGAGGCACCCAGAGGTTAAGTAACGTGCCGGAGGTAAATGACAGATTTACACTCAGGCAGTCTGGCTCCAGAGCCCTTGGTGTTTAGCCACGATACCATGATGCAAATAGTGTGGCCCCGGCCACTGCTAACCTGCCTCGGAATCTGCTCACACCATTCTCCCTGCTCAGAACATCTTTCCCCCTGCCTCTCTAAATCGCATTCTGTACGGCCCACTGCCTCCCTGCAGCCAAACCTGACTGCCCCATCCTAACTGGCCTGAGAGCTTTCCGAGGGCCACAGGCCTGGACCCTCCAAATGCTTAATATAGAACTTCTGGACAAATTTAAGTGAGATTAGGGGAAGCAGTACCATGACGTTCCCTTGGGGGGTGAATGCTCTGAGGTGGAGGGAGAGCAGAAGGCCATGTGGGAACCAGTGTTGGGAGACGTCCTTAGGAAGGCAACAGGAGTCTAGCAAGGAGGTCTTCACTGTTTCTCCCAGCCCCATGGAGTACTGCTCCTGGGATCTTAGCCCCTTGTTGCAGGCACCAGAGGACATCATTCTCTCCCGACCCCCAAGTCTGGTCTTAGAGGCGCCAAGGGCATTGAGGGCCACAAGGAATCCGGGCATCCAAAGTCAGCGGGAGCACAAACGGGTGAAAGAGGGACAGGAAGTGGGACCGCGATGATGGTCGACCCCTGAAGCAGGAGCTCCCTAAACCGACCAGTAGGGTACCTGCAAAAGTCCAGAATAGTGCGCCTGAGGGCACAGGGATGCGGTCGCGGCCCTGAGGGACACAGAACAAATCAGGCCTGAGCAAGCTGGGATGTGCATTGATGCAGGCCACGGCGACAATCAAAGACGGAGGTCCGGCGGGACCCAGAGGGGGATACCGTGAGAGAACACAAGAGACGAGGACCCTGAGTCAACGCTCTCCGCAACTCTCCTAGCCCTAGGCGTGAAGGGAAATCACCTGGTCCGTCGGGCGCCGCCGGCGACTTCTCCCGCGCGGTGCAGTTTTCATCCCCTCAAGCCCCACCAACGAGATCAAAGGCGTGGCCCAGAGCGGTTCCTTCCAGCGGCGCAGCGGTAGCCATTTTTAAGAAGGGCGACATGCCCTCAATTAGGCGGGGCTTCCGTCCCGTTCTCATCTGTCCCAGGGCTTTCGACGGGCTCTCGCGGTGGCCATTTTGTTGAGGGCAAAGGGGAGTTAGGCGTTCAGGCTCGGCTTATGGGTGGAGTCGCAATGGCTAGAACTGTATCGCCGTTTAGCTTCTCTTTTCTCCCAAACCAAAACCCAAACCAATCCCACTGCCGTTGGGTCAATTCCGACTCATAACGACCCTATAGGACAGAGTAGAACTACCCCATAGGGTTTTCAAGGCTGTAAATCTTTACGGAAGCCGCAGAGCGGCTGGTGGGTTCGAACCTTTTCTCCCAGAGGCCAAGAATCTTTCGACCCCGTCCGATGTCATCCCGTCCGCCTTCCTTCCCCATCTCCAGGATCTCCGCCCTCACTTTCTCTATCTTTCCCGCTTTATCTTGGTGTCTCCGCCGCCCTTCCACAGACCCTGTGGCCCCAGGTCAGGTCGGATCTGTCAGCAGTCATCCCAGACCTGGTGTTCGCTCCCAAATTCCTGTGTCTCTCCCCTTCCACGGCCAGACTAGGCTCAAACCGTGTCACCCAGTCACCTCTTAGGCGCTGACCTCTCCATCCTAACGGTCCCCTTTGCATTCCCCTGACAGAGACTGATGTCTCCCCCAGGCTAGAGTGGGTCACAGATCTGGGACTTGGGGCCATGGAGCATGGTTTAGAGGGGCAGCAGGAGCTGGATTGAGATCGACCTGAGCCCAGATCCAGGACGGTCTGCAGGCCATGCCTGCTCCTAGTGCCTTCAGCCCGTGTTGGCAGGACTAGGAAGTACAGCTGAACAAGAGGGCCCTGCGAGGCCACAGCTTCCTCTTTCTGTGACTGCTGCCTCAGCTTCCCAGTGGCGCTGCTGCCCGGTGGGGAAGCCCACAGTTACTCCTTCCCGGGAACCCCGCAATGGGTTATGAGGGGAAGAATCCCCTTCAAGGATGAGCTAGCCCATCCGTGATCCATGGTCTTTTTATGAGGCCCTCTTCAGTGCTAGTCCTCTTGAAGGGTGCTGGAAATCCAGAGGCTGTCCCTGCCCTCAGAGTAGCTCACAGTCCATGGGAGAAAGTCCCATCCTCCCCTCTCTCCTGGGGACTGAGTCAGTGCCAAATGTGGAGAAAAAAAAAAGATCACTGCTCCCTCTCATTCCAGCCCTGTCCCTCCTTGCAGGCTTCCTCCTCCCCACCAGGGTCCTCTGGCCTCAGAGAGAGTGGGAAGGGGATTTGGCCTGGCATCGTCCATAAAAACACTGCCGCTGCCAGCCCGGTGCTGCTGGGGTTAATGAGGGGTGGGGTGACAGTCACTTTGAACTCCAGCCAGGCAGGCCCCTGGGAAGGGAGTGATGGGCAGCCTCCTCAGCCCTAGGCCTCTGCCAGCCCTCAAGAGACTAGGGCCCTCTCACTCCCCCACCCCCACCCCTTGCACAATACTGATGACTCTCAGATCCTTTCCACCCTCCTCATTCCTGGAACTTTCAGGTTTCCTCAGTAGAGCTGCTCTCAGTTCTGGCCCAAGACCCCCCTGCAGCCATTCCTGACCACTGTGCCTTCCCCACTTCCCCATCACCTGTTTATTGGATGACAGCTTGATGTAGCTAGATATCAGAAAGAACTTCCTGAGCTTTCAGAGAAAGAGGATAGGAAAGATCTCTTAAGGGGAGCCCCTCCATTCTCAACTCAGGTTCTGGGGCCATAGGGTAGGCTGAGGAGAGGTACCACCACAGACACAAGGACACACTAACAGACTGTAAGGTAGGGCCTCCAGGGAACCTCTGTCCTGCCTGGGACTCCTCAGTCAGCTGGACCTTAAGCCCCTGGTTTTTCATTCCCTCAGGCCTCAGTCTGTCTCTCCCCAAGATGGGAACAGACTCCATCTGTCTTTTGGGTGCTGTTTGAAGCCACATGGGGTGAACATGGATAGAGTGATGCCTCCCCTCCCCTTATATCCTCAAATGAACTTTGTAGCTGGTGTTTGGGGTACCTTGGTCTCCTCAACTGGTGGGAAAAGCTAGAAACCTATGCTGAAGCTCCCCCTAGCATATCAATTCCGCATTGTCCTGTCTAAGAATGAGAAATTGGGCTTGAATTGGGGATAAAGAACAAACTTACAGACATTAAGAGCAGGAAAAAAAAACAAACAACTGGGTGGTCCCAAGGAGTGAGAGGGACCCAGTCAGAGACTGAGGTGAGGAAGGGGACGCTTGGAAGAATCGGGGTGGGGGGGATCCCCTTTCTGGCTTGAGGTCAGGAAGGACTCTCTGGGCAGTGTGCCCAACCCTCCCACACCTTCCTCCTTTCTCAGAAGAGCTGGGATGGGGTGGGGGCAGTAGTTGACTGGGGTGGACAGGATGGGGGCCCTATTTAAGGAGCACTCTTTGAGGGCATCTTTTGCAGACCCAGCCCCAGGAGCTAGAGAGAGGAGGCTTGGTGGGTAAGTGCTAGTCCCTTTCTCCTGGTCTCAGAAAGGGTGGGGGTAGGATGGCTCTGAGCCTGCAGCTTCCCCTCTCCAGAAGATGAAAGTGTGTTTCAGGGAAATCTTTATCCTCCACTCCCTGACCCCAGATACTTCAGGCCTTCACTTCAGGTGGGGAGCTGGGACCCCAGGGTTCCCATCTTGGGGATCCCCATCTCAGGGTTCTCCATTGACTCAGGAAGCCCCTCAAGCTGCAGAGCTATGCCCTTCTCAGTGTGTGTGTTCTGGCTCTTCCTCCAACCCCTGACCCCTTCAGCCCAACATCTGGCCCCAACATCGAGCACATCTGGGCAGGAGATGACTCGGGACTGACCACACAGTACACAGAGCCTGGGGGACAGAATCCCTGCCATGGCCCTGAGCCCCCTCCCTTTGTACTCTACTCCAATTCCTGTTGCAATTTAGGGAACCCCTGCCTCTTTCCCCTTCTTTGGGCCCCTCTTTCAGCTCCAAACTCAGACCCTCTCTGGGATAGGAGGAATCTTGAGACCCCAGGTTCCTTGTCTGGTCCATTCAGGACCTCAACTTGTTTGTCCTGAGAATGGGGGCCAGTTTACAGAAGAGAGCACAGGAGGGAAATGTCACAAAAGAACTTTGGCTGCCTGGCTCTGAGAACTGAATTCCGTAGGCTATGAGCTCTAGCAAATGCCCTAGGAACTCAGTTCTGGTGCCCGGCCATGCTATACCGTCAATGCTGAGACTGTGGGGAAGCTGCTGGCTCAGCTCAGCTTCTCCCAGACAACGTCCCAGCCAGGCTTTCTCCAGGCACCCATCCTGCACACTGGCCAGATCTTTTAAGAACTTCAACTTGGGCCACTCTTTGGCTTAAAGACTTTTAATGGCTCCCCAAAATCCTTACCCTGCTGTTAAATTGTGGCCTCCAGTTAGCCTGATCTTCCATTGCTCCCTGGTCATAACCTGCACTCCAACGAACCCTGCCAGCATGCTTTTACTCATGCTGGTCCCGCCACACTTATTCTTGGGACACCTCCTTCCCATCACTATCTATTGGAATTTTATACATCCTTCAAAGCCTCTCTCAGATGCCCCTTCCAAGAAGCCTCTCTCAACTCCCCCAAAGGGCATCTGATCTCCTCATATCTTGCCATACTCCTCTCCAGCAGGGCTAATGTCATGAGCTCCCATAGTGTTTAGTTCAGTGTTCTGCACATAATACCTGTTTAATAAATGTCTCTTGCATTTTGTTGACTGTGTCTCCTGTAAAGAGGCAGTTTGGCATAGAGATGCCTCAGATTTGTCAGGGGCATTCTCAGTGTGTGACCTTGGGTAAGTTGCTTAACCTCGCTAGGCCTCAGTTTCCTCATCTGTAAATGGGAATAATAATTATACTCACCTTAATGTTTTGTGAAGATTAAATCAACTGAGTTAATAGTCTCTGTAAAGAGTTTTAGCACAACACCTGGCATTTAGTGAGTGCTCAGTAGATGTGTGAGGTTGTTATGATTCTTATTATATTCCCTTAAGTTGAATGTAAGGAGCCCTGTTGGTGCAATGGTTAAGCACTCGGCTGCTAACCGAAAAGTCAGTGGTTCGAACCCACCAGCCACTTCACAGGAGAAAAGACCTGGCAATCTGCTCCCGTAAAGATTATAGCGTAGGAAACTCTATGGGCCAGTTCTACCCTGTTCAGTAGGGTCACTATGAGTTGGAATTGACTCAACAGCATACAACAAGTAGAATGTGAGCCATCCAAAGGTAAGGAGGGTGGGAGAGAACTTGGAATTGATCAGTCAGGGCTTGTTGAGTGAGGGGCTCCAGATCAGAAGCCAGGGTTGGGTAACACATGCTGGGAGCCCTGGATCCCACCTGCTGTGTGATCTTGGGTAGGTCACTCCCACTCTCTGGCCTTGGTATCCAGGCATAATGTAAGTTGAGGGGGTTGGACCAGATGAACAGCAAGGTCCCTGCAGCCCACATGTTTTATGAGTTCTGAGCTTTTAAGGGTTAAGTTCAAAGAGAAGATCAAAGAAGGAAGCATCTAGGCCCCCTGCAGGGCTCACTTATATCCAAGGGGCCTGAAGCAGGGAGATTTGAGGTTTGGAAGTACTCTGGGATGCTGAACTGAGCTGAGTGACTGGTGGCACCTCCTCAAAAAGCCTGCAATTCAGGGACACTCCTCCTTCACTAGTAGGAGCCCTGGTTGCATAGTAGTTAAGGGCTCGACTGTAACCCACCACTCCAAGGGAGAAAGAGGTGTCAGTCTGCTTCCATAAAGAATACCTCATTGCCATCAAGTCAATTCAGACTCCTAGCAACCCTATAAGACAGAGTAGAACTGCACTATAGAGTTTCCTAGGCTGTAAATCTTTACGGAAGCAGACTGCCACATCGTTCTTCTGCAGAGCGGCTGGTGGGTTCCAACCACTGACCTTTTGGTTAGCACCTGAGTGCTCTAAGCACTGTACCACCAGGACTCTCCTGCAAAGATTACAATCTTGGAAACCCTCTGGGCAATTCTACTTTGTCCTATAGAATCTCT